ACCATGACACCAACCAAGTCCTGCCCCAGTGCCTTGATCTTCTCTGCAGAATCCGCTGCGTTGACGTCGATAACCTCGACCTTGATGCCAAATCCCTGAGCTCTGCTCTGGATGACTGAAATAGACTGAGGGTGAACGAGGTGTGAGACAACAAAGGTCTTGCCGGGTCTCTTGGCCCGGGATGATGAAAGAGCGTTCATGGAGAGAGTCATGGCCTCAGCGGCGGCCGTACCCTCATCCAACAGACTGGCGTTGGCAATGGGGAGCCCGGTCAAATCGGACACCATGGTCTGGTAGTTAAGAAGCGACTCAAGGCGGCCCTGGCTGATTTCGGGTTGGTAGGGGGTGTAACTGGTGTACCAAGCAGGGCTCTCGAGGACGTTGGTCTGAATTACACGGGGCGTGACGCTGGGGTTGTATCCAGCACCGATAAGAGGCTTCGGAGCCGCCTCGTTGGCCTTGGCCCAAGCAGTGGCTCTCGCAAGAACTTTGCTCTCATCAAGGGGGCCCTCATTGTCCCAAGCACCAAATGTCTTCCTCTCGGAGATGACATCCGGAGGGACAACCTGGGCAATAAACTCGTCAATTGACTTTGCCGGAGGGTCGAGCGCCTTCAGCATGGCCTCAGCATCGGTAACATCAGGTCCGATGTGTCGGGGAATAAAGGACTCGGGCCTCTGCAGCGGCTCAAGGGAGGGATCGACTGAGCCAATCTTTGCACTGGTGGCATTCTGAAGAGCTGCAAAGGCGCTGAATGTCCTCACACGGGGAATCCGCGAGGACGATGCCGAGCTTGACACACATGAGTTGCAAACCCACGAGGAAGCAGGTGTCTGGCGGGCGGCGATTCTTGACCTCGGGGCAGCCAGCCGAAGCTGGCGGGGGAGGGGCAATCTCAGTGATGCCATTGTGTGAAGTGAGTAGAGTGGCAATTCACACAAAGAAGATGAAGATGCCAGTGAGACTCTACAATGTCGGAGGTGTGTCTTGAAGAAGAATAGAAAAGAAGAGAGAAAGAGAAGAAGGGCAGGTGTTGTGGTTGAGAGAGTCGTGCGAATAGAAGTATTGCTCGGATCTGGGGCCGATATCGTTGTAGCTCAAGAAGTAACACCCTTGTCGCCACCAACTTGCGATCCGAGATGCGACTCGGGATAAAAGCGACCAAGCTCTCGCACGCAGCCCAAAAACCGTTTCAAAACACCTGAATCCAGGTCTTGACGCGAAAGAGGTTTCTGTTGAGCAGATGGGATGATTGTTAGGGAAGAATAAATAGAAGCCAAAGTAAACGTATACAACAGAACAGCTTCCGGAATGCTCTTCAAATATGAAGGAGTCGGTGAGGGCGAGCTCGAGGACCGGCAGCCATCCGCCCTTTCGTTTCTTTCTTTTTGCGGCAACGGCTACTTATCGAGACAGCGGTACGTACTACATAGTCAAAACACCAAAGGTACGGATACCAGGCCACCAGACGTGGCCAGGGATGCCGTTCCTGAGTCGTATACCTACCTACCTTCATAGTAGCATAGTAAGGTTAGGTATGCACAAGTAGATCTCCCTACGAATTACAGAGTGAGATACAGATTACTGTGTCTGCATGCTGGACCGCCCGCTCGTTCGCCGCCGCAACGGACACCCTAAACACCCGACGCCAAACACCAACTCTTTCGGTTGGTTACGGGATCCCTGGGAACCGCGCACCAACACCCTGAGAGGTGAGGGTGGAAGGTGAGACTTGGCCTTATCGGGCGCGCAGCGGCGCTCGCTGATAAGCGCGGTCAAAACGATAGGGAAGCTTGATGATGAGTGCCAGTTGGATTATGATCCGTAGCCTGTAGGTGGGCTCCAGTTCCCCAGCCATTCCCTGACTTTGGGGCCCCGGCGCGTTGGGCAAACTGCTCGGCGAGCCATCCATGAGCCGCCGCCATTACGTCCAGAAACGGATGTGAAGGCCAATGACAGGTCGTGAAGGGTGGCGGGCGGGAGACTAGGTTCTGGGGCTCTCGTTCGCGCAGTGTATTCCCAAGCGGTCGTTTGGTTTGAAGGGTTGGAGGTGCGCGGATGAGAAACCGAGTGCTCGGTCAGAGAGCCGAGTATACCACCACCACAGACCTGCCACCAAGAAACGTTTTCCGGTCCTGTCTCTTTTCATAAACTTATGCTCACCAACCGCCTTACCTAAGCGACCTTGCTTTTGTGCATGTGCAAATCCGATTAGGTAAGGAGAGTGAGTATCTAAGCATGCGCCTGTGGAGACCTCAACTTTGAGGCTCTAAGTACGTACCGGCCGGGACGGAGCTCGAACGATGGAGCTTCTCTAAATTTTTGCGACGACATCATCGCTGTACCTGGCACCGACGCGAAATCCCGATCACGAACGAACCGTCCATCTTGCACCCTCGCCCACGCCTATCCACTTCCTTCAAGTCAATACTACTAAGCTGCCAACAAGATGTTCGGAGGATGTACGTTCCGTATCTACCTTATGCGAGCCGAATTGCACCGAAAGCAACGCTGACCATCTTTCCCTGCAGTCGCGCCCCCCCAGCTTTCCGAGGAGGAGATCAAGCAGATGGAGGCCGAGGCCAACTTCTCCATCCAGCAGGTCGTCGTCTCTGCCGTTCTTCTGTACCTCTGTAAGCGCAAACCTTTCTCTTCCTGTACATGCAAATAGATCTAAGAGTATATGCTAACGAGAGACTCCTTGTCCAGCCCCTTTTGTCATTGATGCCGCCTCCAAGGTCCTGTAAAGGACTTGCCTTTCACCAACGACAAATCGATGAGCTTGCCATAGTTCAGGATCACGACAATAAAACAAGAACCGCGAGGGGGTGCTCTCTACGAGCAATCTGGCTGCGGCACTAATGAAGCGCTGCTAGCCACCAACCCGCCTCAGGGATGTGTAATGGGAATAATTACCCCTGTTGTAAAATAAATATCATCTGTACAGTGTAGACGACGACTGGTTGGATGGACTATGGGTATAGATCACATCGGAATCAGGGTTAAAAGAAATCACGACTTTTGTTTAAAGCTTTCCTTCGCTTCTTGCGTTGTTGGAGGGAATACCCTCTCTCAGTCCTTTTTCTTGATGCGGCTAGTAGGCCATCTCCCTTTTGCGTTCATCCCGTACATAAAAGCGTCCGCTCGCGCCGTCCTCTATTATGACACACCTGGTAATAGCCTTCATCCCAAACGACCTAGATACTCTAGCTCGGGTTCCGCTCTTTCTCCCAGTCCGCAAAGTCTTTTGTAATGGACTCGACTTCCTTCTTGAGATGCTGGATTTGTTTCTCATAATCTTCCAAGACCTATAATCACTGTTAGCGACCAGAATCAAATGATCTGCCGGACTACAAAACCATACCTTCTTCGTCTTGTGCTCAGTCTCCTCGCTCAAACCCTCGCCGCTCGCAAAAGCAGGCTTATTCGTCTCCTTCATCAGCTGATCCGCGTAGTCTCTGAGCACGATCAACCGGCTCCAGAGCTCCTCCTCTCTCGCCGCCAGAGCAGGATCCTGCACGTTGCGCTCCAGCTCCGCCAGCTTGAGTCGCAAATCATCCTCGTCACCACTCAGAGCGTATCCGCGGTTGCGCAGCACTTGCACGCGGGCAGCCAGCGCGAGACACCGCTCGCGAAGGACGACGTGACGGCGACGGGCCGCAAGGGCACGCACACTGGTCTCGAGGTCGTGCCGCGAGAGGATGGCGTCAAGGCTGGCGTTGATCTGGTGCAGGCGCACGTTGAGTTCCCCCACTACCTTTTTCTGCGTCTGGAGGCGGGCCGCGACGCCAGAGAAGCCTGTGCAGAGAACCGGGATGTAGCCCGGCGCGGGTTTCTTCTGCAGCGCCTCCTCCCAGTCTCTCGGGTCTTCGTGTGGGCCAGGCTTGTAGAAGGGGACGGAGGCTTCGTCGACTTTGTTGTAGAAGTAGTGCTTGAACGCGCAGTTGGGGTTCGTGGGGTTCCACTTCTCGAAGATGAGGGACATTTGTTCGGGAATGGGCTTTTGGTTCTCTGCAGTATACAAGTTAGCATTGATCCAAACGTAATAAGCTACCGGACGAACACAGGAACGTACGAGGCGTATCCCTTCCGGGTTGCCAGAGTGAGTTCGAGAGCTGTGCTTGCGATTGCGACAGGCTGGGCATTTGTTGTTGCTGCTGCTGTTGCTGCTGTTGTTGCTGCGGCTGCTGAGACTGAGCCATGGAGTTGCCGAATGCGCCTCCCTGGGTCTGGTTCTGTCCTCCGAACAAGCTCATGCCGGATTGCTGCTGCTGTTGTTGCTGTTGTGGCTGCTGCTGTGTTGACTGTCCTAATGTGCTGCCGCCGAAACTACCTCCTCCAAAGAGACCTCCAGTCTGCCCAGCGGGCTTTGGTGCGCCGAACAAACTCATGGTGTGGAATGAGCGTTAAGGATTTTTTCGATGGGGTTCGAAGCAAAGCGTAGGCCCGTCGCGTGTGTCGTCGGATAACGGCGATTGGTGCGCGAAGTTGCAGCGAAATGCAAGCAGTAAGCCAAGAAGCTCAGCGTAAAATCGATGAAGGAATTGAGGTGAGGGACTGGCGGGTATCAAAACAAAGAGAAACTTCCAGGAGCAGCCAGGGCGCGAAGAAGGCGGTCGACCGCTTTTTTCTCTCTCAGGCGTTGGCGGAAATGGCTCGCTGGGTATCAGTCGCAAGGCTGTTCAGAGCTACCCTTGGGAGACGAGGACCGGACCCAGCAACGCGAAAATAATAAATCGGAGCTTGCTGCTGCTGTAGTCTTCACCGGGCGCCACACTTTCGCAGACCGAGCCACCTTGCAAATGGGCCATACCCCAGCCACACTAGTTCCACTTCAGCCTCGCCCCCAACCGATCCAATCAGGCGCCTCCTAAATCGACCTCACATGAATTCGTGGTAGCGTCTATTGCCCGGAAAGCTTGCTCTGGAGACCATCCGAACCGCCAATTCGACCACTCCCTTCCGCCCTCCTCCTAGGTCCCATCACAACAATTGCAGCCATGGCTAACCGACGGCCTCAGTACGTTATCCGTCCCCCTTCCAGGCCGAATAGGCAGGCCAATTGAGCGAAACCACCGCCGAAGAAGACCCCGGGCCGATCGCGATACAGAGAGCTTTAGAGAGAGGCTAACACCCAGCGCCAGGTTCAACCAGCAGTTCCAGGTCGACACGACCCCTCTGCCCGACGATATCCCCAAGGTCAAGGAGATTGGTGCCAGCTCCGCGCCTCTTCTGTCGGCGTCCTACTTCATCGGCGCCCGTTGCCGCGAATACAATGACGACTTCATGCAGTGCAAGACGGACAACGCGGGCCGCGGCGAATTTGATTGTTTGAAGGAGGGTCGTCGGGTCACCAGATGCGCCTCCAGCGTGTATGTTGAATCCATTGCTGTTGCAGCGAGCCTCATTGTCATGTTGCCGACGGGCTGCCGCTCAATTGTGCCCAAATGTCGCAGACCATGGGTCCCGAGAGCAGGTGTTATTTGATAGGGATATCGAATTGCTAACATGGGAACGACACTACATAGGCTGAAGGATATCAACACCCACTGCCTCGAGCAGTTCAAGGCCCACTGGACCTGCATCGAGAACCGTAACCACCAGCTCTACCAGTGCCGACCAGCCGAGTGGAAGCTCAACAAGTGTGTCTACGAGAACCTGGTACGTCACCATCCCGCGCATCCGTTCCAGCACGACGAAGGGAACGATCTGAACACTCCCTACTGCCTCAGATGGAAACAACAGACTCGCAGCTAACACACTATGTCACTAGAAACTCGAGAAGAATATCCCCGACCAGCGCCCCGGCGTCACCCCCGTCGAGCTCCGCCACCACATGATCTACGCCGACCAAGCCATCAACACCCTCGAGGGCAAGCCCTTCATCCCCCCGTCAAAGCAACAAGCATCGTAGAGGTGTAGCAAAAGCAGACGGCGATATGGGGTTTTAGCGACTTCTTCCGCGTGAGCGCGCGGAGGGGAATTGAGGGCTTTGTGTTGAAGATGTAGGACTTGGAACTAGGCGATAGAAAACGCTGTGTACATATGTCATCAATCAGAGTTGGGATCAAACCAATGGCTTCACTTTTTTTTTTCTTAACATCTTTCGACCCAATGCAGATCTGCTTTACTTGTTCTAATGTCTGATGCCGCTTCAGTCGGGTGCGCCTGTTGGTTATTGATGGAGAGAGTGCTGAGACGTATAGACCATCACGACTGTTTTAAATTCGCCATAGGGCTCTGGCAGGCATATGGACGATCTTTTACTAGATGGAAGCGGTTAACCTCATATTGTCACAGAGGTCTTCACTTCTCCAGGTTACCCTCAGCACCTCTTATAGTAAAAGCCAATCAATCAAAGCAGCAAAAGAGTTCACCCCCCCGGTGCTGAACTGGGGGCTACATCTCTGGCGCACTTGCTGGGAATCGAACTCGAACTCGAAGCCTGTCGTCGAGTAGGCTGTGGGCGTAATTTGATTGTCGACCTTGAACCACTCCACCACCCAGCCAGTTTGACCTGACCCGTCGACCTAGACGGGCGCCTGCTGGCTGGTAACGAGAACGGAGTTGAGGGGGGGTATATAGCTTTGGCTTCACTCTCGTGGGTGTATTGGGTGTAGACCGGATGAATATACAGTGCGTTCACGTAATTCTACCTTGCTCAGCTCTCTGGGTTGCTGATGGCTTTCGGGTATCCTAGGTGATGCATAACTTAACTACGAGCCCGTCTCGCTAGAAAGGTATCTTTGGCAAGACCATTTTGGCTTTTGTCGCCAATCTCTCGATTGAAGCAATCATGTTCAATCTCGAGTGATCACGATATGCTGTAGCAGATAATCGACAAGCAATACCACTGACAGGAAGGCACAGCATCGTCAATAACACTCCGTCCCCTATTAGAAATACGATTCTCCCCTGTCCACAACGAGTAGAGGCATTTGCCCGAGATGTCACAGCAAAGGAAGTAGTAAGCCGCCAGCATCCGAAACCTTGCGAACCTTCTTACAACCTCCCACTCTCTCATATTCGCTACCTCTCGCCGTCCCATCACTACTAATCGTAGCACAGATCGCCACCCCAAGACAGTCTCGCGCCTCTCGCCCCGTCACTACTATCCGCAGTCTCTGTGTCCCATCTTACTATTCGTAAAACAAAACAATCTACATAAACCCCGCTAATCTGAGATGTCTCTCACAGGAAAGAGGGAAGCCGAGGCTGATTCCAGTACACCTATAGAAACTGGGCACCTTCATCTAGCTCGACTACCACCATACTTTAGCCCACGTGTACTTGACAAGGAGACTTTCAACAATCTAGACTCACAAGAGCCTCTTCAAATTGATTCTCTCTGCCCTGCCCATATCTCGTAAAGACATGTGACGTTACAATTGATGCCCAGGTTGCTTCCACAAGCACTAGGATCATAAAGTAAAACAAGGTAAGCGTAAGCTCTTGTCTGAGCTGTCAGACCCTGCAGTATCCAGCTGTCAGCGGGTAGCCGAGACATAAAGGGTCAGCGTGAGATGGGGCGGGGGCCAGTTCGGTTACGCCTTCTGCAGGAGTGACAAGGTGAGAAAGATCATGACATATTCTCTAGAGATGGCATCTAGTATTCACTTCAGTCACATTTTGATAATACTTCTGGGGGTGAGTGTGATCTTCTACTAATTGAGATGTGAGCAGCCACTCCAGCTTCGTTACGGATGCGATGTGAGATTAGTTGGGCAGAGAGCATGTTGATGTCGAAGTTCCCAGCGAAGCTGGCTACGACTTGATAATGCTCGTAACCTGCGCTGCAGTCAGGCAAGAAATCACTCCTTTAGGCAAGACAAGCCGGTGTATCTCAGAGAGCACAATCTGCCTCCGACGCAAGGCTTCACACAGGACAAGAACGCCACCACCTCTGATTCACCACCTTTGACGAGACATAGGACACCTTTGTGGTCCCCCAAACCTTCGTAACCTTGTTGTCCTCAACCCAAGGTGGCCACACGCAGTCCACGTATTCCGCGCAGTCCTCTATAGCCCGCCAAGTTGGAGCGTACTGTCGGGGTGGGCGAGAAAGTACACTTTGGCCGAAAGGTTACGAGTGCGGCTTCTCCTTCACTGACGCGAACCTGCCATTTAAAGTCTACAGATGCCTGGCGTCTCGCTGTAGCATTATTTATGCCGGTTCGAACCTCTATTTTTGACATTTTCTTTTTTCGACATATCTTCTCTACATTATTGAAGACGTATGGAATCGTGTTGTCCATTCATAAGAATTAAAAAGAAAGCAAATTTTGTCCGGCAAAACACCAGTCGAGAGATGGTGACACCAACGGGGATCGAACCCTAGCCCAACTTCCTAAAAAGACCTTCTGCTTCACGCAGACTACCTCTCCAGAGAGGCAAAATCCACAAAAGCCACAAAAGAAGCATAAAGGCGCTTCTAGGCGGGTAGGACGTTGTGTCGTGTGCCAAACGATGTAGGCGAACAGATGTAGTAAGAAACGATGGAGATGGACGTATAGAAAGCTGACGGGCTATTCTTTTCCTGCGCGACGGCGGCCCAGGCATCACACCGACGAAGATGGCCCGACCTAAAGATGCCGTGGAAAGAAATCAAACAACCGTAGCGGCTTATTTGGTTATTCAAGGAGAGCACGCGAAAGGTGTTACAGGTTCTAGAAAGGCCGTTCGGGTACAATTGCCCGGTGGAGGGACAATGAAGAGGACCAGCTGGGTAGGATGTGTGTCCCATGATTCTTGAATGTCTCTATCTGAGACATTGGGCCGGGGATGATGAGTCCGATGCCACCACGAGAAGCCATGCAGGCGAATCCAACATCTCTACTCAGTCTAGAGCCTTGATGCCACTTACCGGCAGAGACCAACAGAGACTCATGCTCTCGTCCGGGGAGAGTCGTACAAATCATAGTAGCAGCCGGCCATGTGTTCTCCCCCAGAGTTGTCCGATCTGAGACTCAGAGTGCGAGGCCATCTGATCCAAGAACCGCGGCAATGTTGTCGTACAGTGTCTAAGCATGACTGAGTGTTATGTATTTGCCACATCGAGGAACCATTGCTAAAACTGCACTTGCTGGATGGTCCTCCATCGTTAAAGCGTTCGGCATCCTCAACCTGGGTGTTGCCTTCTTGTCTAAGACAGTGGACTAGATTGTGAACCCCGTGTTCAGATCCTGCGGCATTCGACCCCTTGGACCTGACTCCTTCATTGAGACTTCGTCAGCATCTCAAAAGAAACAGTCATTAGTGATATTCCCGCCACCATGATGCATCAAAGGAAGCAATCCCATCGTGTTTGACGCTGTCGTGAAACCGCCGTTGGCTTGACGTCAGGGTTCTGCTGCCGACGATGTGAGCAGAGGGGAGATGGAGGGGCTCTATCATGCCAGGCGCTTAAAGCGGTATTAGGGTAGCGCAACCTTAACTCCCGGGCGCTGAACGACCAGGTCGCAAAAATTGGCCGCAGCCCATCGTCAAACAACATGTTTCGGCTTGTCTCGAAGTGTTTGGGCGATCCAAGTGGCTCTCAGTCAACCGGATGCACTTTGGACGGTAAAATCCAGACAGAAGGCTAGATGTTCTGCTTCTCTCGTTCTGGCAAACGAGGCCGTCAACCGGCTTTGTTTACGGCTGGCGGTTCAAGACAGAGCTGGCGCTCTTCTCCCAGATTTGCTCTGAAGGATTCGCAGCCCAACAAGCAAGCAAGCGGCGCTAGTCACTAAATGTCTTGTGCGGCATTAGCTTGCCCGGGATGGGATGGAGATGAGCCGATGTTGGTATCCGCAATCTGGTGATAGCCTTGAGCTCTAGCAGCGGCCGGGTTTTCAGATCTTGGGATCCATAATGGAGATGCCGTCTTCCCCGGAGACGGACGGTCTGAACGCTGACATGATGTGCCGCAAGGCCCGCGGTTCGCCGGCAGTGGTAAAAAGAGGGCCGCGGGGCAGAGAAGAAAAAAACTCTCACCAAAATCTCCTGGGCCAAAATTAAGGATGTTTGGTGCCCTGGAAGTAAACGACACCTCATTTCCTGGTGGGTGCGCAACCTCAAGGTGGTCCTCTCTGAACCCTGTCCCGCTATCTCGATGGTCGTGCCCGCCCCATGACTGAGTGTGGTTGGACCGCGAACAGCAGGGGAGAGAAACGTCTGATTATCTGATAGCTTTGCGTTCATTTGCATAGAGAAATGAGATGAACCGACAAAGACAGAGGGGGTTCCCTGGCGGTCAGGCTCTGGCGGTCTAGGATAGCGATGTCGGAGAGGTCCCCTCGTCTCCGCAATTAGTTTCACCACATGGGTTGTAGGTTAAGCCGCTGGAAGCCTGCAGAATGAAAACCAATATCTAAGCTGTAGTATACCATCCCGCGTACGAATCCTTGGAGATGGGATTACATTTCCATCTGAGAGAAGTTGGAGAACAAGAGATGAAGCTCTATGCTTCAGGATCTAAGTGTCATTGGCGATTGGCAAGGTTGCATTCAACTAATGTCGGGGAATGCATCTGTGCACCTCCCATGTGCAGGGGAGGGAACTTCCGAGCTATCATCGGCGGACTAGCCCAACGTCTCGTCGCTATGTTGCGTTGTATGTTTGTACGGATAGTTTAGTACAGCTCAGTTTCCAGACCCTTTCAGCTCGAGGCTACCACGTCAGATAGTATGAGGTACTAAAGTCACGCGGATGATGGGAGTGTCGTCCCTAACAGGCTACTAGGTGACAATGGTTGAATCATGAAAAGGCCTGGTGTCTGTGGTTTTTCTTACGGCATTGGCCACCCGAGTTTGTTAGGGACTGGTCGCCAAGAAGGCGGGACTGTTCGATGGAGAATAAATCAGCTGTGCTGGCTGTCTGTCACATACGCCATCTCGATCAATACTGCTGATCACGGCTCCAGTCTGGCGAAGAGGGGGGGCAGATTGGCTTTCGGGAGAAGACCGTCTCAAACTTTGGTCGTTGGAAGATGCTGCCCACGCGGGGACTAACGTCAAGTGCAGCGGGAGACGATTCTGAAGCGACCGTTGACTTATGCCATCGTTTCTGCCGTGATCCATTGCGTCTTTTGCATCTCTCCGAGTGGTCAGGTGCCAAACTCCGGAGCCCGAGTCATCCTAAACCACGACACATTTCTTGTGGTCGGCCGTGCGTGGTGCAAGTGATGGCATTAGTGTCCCGCTGCCGTCGGAAGTCATGCAGCGCTCGGGCGAATGAACAGTTTCCTCTTCGGCGGTCGCCGCACCAGAAGAACGCCTTCGATATGGACACGCGGACTCTCTAGCTGAAGAGGCGTCCTTGGGTGCATGGCAATCATTGCGTATCCTGTAGTTCGGCGAGCAACACCACGCGGCTTGCACCCTAGGGAAGCATGGCATGGAAAGCTTCTTGCCCCCTTCTCCGTCATCAAGGCTCCTTGGGAGCAATCGAGAATGGAAGTTATCGGTGCAAGTGAGGATCCGCTTCGGCGTCCATGAACCGTGCCCACTGCCCATAGCTGATAATGAGAGAGGGATCCGTATCGGTTCCTGCTTCTGCTCCTCTACCCCGGAAAGGCAGCATGATGTTGCTGTAGTGGGCGGCCGGAAGATTTTGCAACTTCATCTCGCTCATCATGAGTGCTGTACCAGGATGCCAGGTTTTGTTCCTGGTTGGTCGTCATCGGTAATCAGACGTCAAGAGATGCGTCGTGTGCGATGAGACGCTGACAGGATGACAGAAGCGGCACAGATGGTGATGTGGAGAGGGGGCCAACAAAAGTCTCCACGAAGTATAATGAGGTCATTTGGCGAGACAGCGGAAGAGACGGCCAAGGTGATGCGGCAGTAAAGTTTAACGCAGACTGCCGACCGGGGATGGTTGACAGGAGTACAGCGTGTGAGCGTGCGTATACGTAGTCCTCAGCGTTGCAGCGATCGACCCGGTGAAAGCGCCATGGCTTAGGCCATTGCTCGGGAGACAGACTACGAGAGACAGAGAGGAAACAGTGTGAAATGGGCGGCAACGAGAGAAATCGTAGAAACAGAGAAACACTTCTGTGGCACTTTGGTGAGTCTGGCAGAATAGAACGAATCCATAGAAAGGTGCACAGTTCACAGTCCACGCAACGCTTTGAGCAATTCGCGGAAAGACTGGATGAACGGGTCCCCACCGAAATTAAGGCCGTTTCAGACTGGTGGATCTCCCCGGGCCAAGTGGCTGTTTGATGGAGACGCCCAGCAGACCCTTGCAGCAATCAGGGCAAGAACGACTGCATCTGCAAGGCACCGGCTCGGTCAGCCGTTGGTGTTGAACCAATGGGACGAGGCTACTGCATGCTGCTGCTTGGGGATTGGCCAGAGATGCCGGGAGACCAGGAGTCGGGACGTGGGTGGGAGGGCAACATCCATCTCATCGTCCCATGGGAGGAAAGAGCAAGGGAGGGGGTGAATGGAAGGGGTGTGCGTGGCAGGAACGAGGCGCCGGGACGAGGGGCGGAGCGAAGGTGCGCTAGCTGGTATTGGCAACAACTAAACCAAAGAAACAGGCGCTGGGGAATCTGCAAGCCCCTTTTCCCCCTCCATTCGACCCCCTCCCTATCGTGATTCCACTTACAATTGCAGACAAGTTGATAGTGTCATCTGTGCTGGTATCATGGTACTAGTCAGCCAAGGCCGTTGCGGTGATTTTTGAACAAGCTGAGGGCACAGGGACGGGAGCGCGCTGTCGCCGGCACTGACGACGAAAGGGCATCGGGATCCAGGACTCAGCAGGGTAGCTGACTCTCAGGCTTCAGCTTGACGCTTGAATCCGCTCCTTGATACACCTTGGCTTGACATTTGTGGTAGAGACCCGTTGTCATGGTGAGGGGTTGACCTTTGCTGTCCACGTTTACGCATACCCGTATCAGAGGGCGTGGTGAAATCAAGAGAACAACAAGGGATCGATGTCTAGATCATGTTGTATAATTGCCCTCATCTAGGCGTGCAGACTCACCGCATGCAGTAATCTGGACCGGAAAAATCGGCCTCTCTCGATCGGGAAGCTGACCCAGTGATAGACATCATCTAGACCAAGGTGCATTGCGGTGCCGCGATGGGAGGAGCCAAGATGCGAGGATCTGCTCGTTGCATGGTGCGAGATGGGAGGCAGAACCCTGGATAAGGTAAGCTGAGGTGCTACAGTGCATGCTGGGCTGGCAAGCTGACCATCGGTGAGGCGTATTTTAGCATTGTGCTGCTATTTCTACTGCGTACTGCTGTTCCTACTGTTGCCGTGCAGCCTGTGCTGCTGTCGAGGTCTGTTCCCCCAGTCGCCAGGATGAAATAAAGTATTTTGACTTTGTTCCTACCCGCCTTGATGCCTTCTCCCATGAAGATCAATCGACATGTGCATCTTTTCGGGGGACTGCACATAGGTCATGTAGCTACTTACCTAACTAATATTAGCTAAGGCATTGACGTATATTCCCGAGGGTGGAAGTGAGAAGGGACCGTTCGAAAAGCCATTGTTGGTCCTTCCCTCTCTTCCGTCCCTTCCTTCCTTCTATTGCCTCTACATTCACCAAAATCCGTTCCTTCCTTCCCTTGAATGGTGGTGGAGGAGGGGGAGGGGAATGATACGTCCACCCCCGCAGAACCTTGATACAATCTCCAATACACCCCTCCCACTTACACCGGGCACACGCTGCAGAGTGCAGGAGCAACACAGTTCGTCCCTTCCCTTCCACAGTTCATCGTGACCCCGGACAAACCAAACAAGACCAATTTCTTTTTGGGCCTGCGCAGCTCTTGCTTTGCTTGTCTCGCCTCCAGGTCATCGCCCTTCATCACCGTTGCCTCCACCTTTTCTGGCCGGATCCCGCTCCCACGGACCACGAACACTTGACCCTCGTCACGCTTCTTGGCTCTTGAATCTGCGCCGTAGCCTGTAGCCTGCCACGCAGCAACAGTGTTTGTTCGTTCCTTCCTGCAGGGTTCACTTTGCACTCCCGTCGTCCCGTCCTGCGTTCGTCAGGTCGCTCATTTTCTACGCCAGTGTTCTACGGAGTAATGTAACTCGCAAATCTCACACCTCTCCACGCGCCAGAGCAGCATCCAGCGCCAACCTAGACCTCACACCACCACTCATCTCAACCTCCACACTCACTCACTGATTCACTCACTCCTCACACGCTCACTTTCTCACACACCCCAACTGTCGCCTTCATATCCACACTCACGCAGCGGTAGTCATTTCGACCCCGTCAACTCAACCACCACAGTCCACCAGCAATATCACCATTCAGCAACCTAGCCCAGGCGCTATCCACGGTCCGTGGTACAACCCACGCACACCAACATCCTCGCCAACACTGCATATCGCCTCCCCCCCGGCTGCCCTGGATTCTACCCTTGTCTGGACTAGACTTGCACTGGACCCAACGCTCAGACTCTAGTCCCTCTCCGCCCAGTCCCTCGATCCCAGTCGCGCGGATTTCCGTCGTCCTGTCCGCTCCCTTTTAGTAGCCAGACGTCGCCATCCAGAACATCTTGTCTCTCCTTCTTGCTTCACCACTCCCAGGAGACCACTTCGTTCGACCCCCTTCACCCCCCTTCTCTTCTCCCGCCCAGGCCTCGGTCGCCATCGTGTCTGTTCGACACCGTCCATTCCTTTTAAAACCAATCACATCGCCCCCGGGTCCCGACCTCGAATCCCCTCTTTTCCTGCACCCTCAACCTTCCAGGATAGAAGGATAGGCTCTCGACATTCCTTACGGATCCCGATACCTCTTCACGTTCTCTACCCAAAAACCACAAGCATCAGGCTTCTTGTCACTCCTTCGCAACTTTTCTCACGAGAATTCTTTTTTTCCGGCTCACCACCCAAAAAAGAGATTTTACGACTCCCGACCGGTCACTCCTTCCCAACTTCAACAACACAACCGTTGTTCAACCACACTCTTTCTACAACACCACCAGGTCCTTGACGGAACCGTATCAGCAGTGCTCGATCACCACACAGCTGGCTCTGAGAATTACCTCACGGGAATTTATTTGCCTCCGACAACCCAACTCACAAATTCTTCCCAACACAACTACCACCTTCGGACTAGATCCCCGGTAGCCAGATTCCGCGAATCTCTTCAAGACATCAAAAACTCAAAAAAGGTAAGTGGCACTGATCCAGACTTCCTTCCTCCCCACATTCCCCACCATATCTTCATTCCTATCGCGTCAATGGCATTGTTTGGAACGCCGTTTTCAAGACAGTCAAATGCCATCGCGATTCAGCCCGCTGCTGCCGACAATGGACAAAGACCTCTCTTTGTTCATTGTCTCGTCCGACACGTGTGTCCACTTGACTCACGTTTGGTTGAACAACGAGTTCGCCTGGGCCCGGGTCGATGGCATCGAGTCGTGTCAGCTGGCGTGCCAGCGTGCGACTAAGGCTGAGTCTCTCGTCACCTCGTGAAGGACATATATCAGGCTGGTGTTTCCTGATGTTGCTCGAGATGCTTGTCTTACCCTTATTCATCACACTCTTTTTTCCTCAGCAAGCCAGCGCTTATTCGCACTTTCCTTCATTTATTTCACTTCACTCACTTCCCTTCGCTTCATCTTCATTCACTCAGATAACACCACTTCGCCGGGCGAAGCTAACCATCGTTCAGACTTATTCTCGTTGATTTCACAATTCAACCTTCAAAATGAAGTCTTCCATCGTTCTTGCCGCCACTGGCGCCGTCCTGGCCATGGGTGCCGCCATCGACCCTCGTGCCATGGAGACCGTCTTGGACATCACCTACGTGACCGTCACCGTCACCGAGGGCGTCCCTATCGAGACTCCCGCTGCCACTCCTTCCAGCAGCCTCCCCCCCAAGGTTGAGGAGACCCCTGCGCCCGCGCCTGTCTTCTCTACCATCACCACCAAGCGCCGCTCTCGCACTCCCAAGGCTTCCACCACCCCGACTCCCACCCCGACCCCGACTCCCACTCCTACTCCCACTCCCACCCCTGAGCCGGTTGTCGAGCAGCCCGTCGCTTCGGAGCCCGCTGCCTCCTCTTCTGCTGCTCCCGTCGCTTCCGTCGTCGAGACTACCCAGTCTACCCCCAGCACCGCTGCCACCGTCAGCGACCTTCAGACTGCCGCCATTGATGCTCACAACATCCACCGCACCAACCACTCCGCTCCCGCTCTGACCTGGGATGCCGACCTTGCCAGCTACGCTCTCATCACTGCCAAGACCTGCGTCTTCGAGCACGACATGTAAGTACCGATGAGAACCATGGATCCATTCCGTCTCTAACCTTCATCTAGGACTACTGGTGGTGGCGGTTACGGCCAGAACCTCGCCATGTGGGGTGCCACTGGCTCCGAGAACTTGGGTGAGGCCAAGGCTGCTCAGCGTGCCATCACCGAGCAGTGGTACAACGGCGAGCTCAACCTCTACACCGGCTACGGCCAGGCCAGCCCTGACATGACCAACTTCCTTCAGTGGGGTCACTTCTCCCAGTTGGTCTGGGTTGACACCACCAAGGTTGGCTGCGGTGTCTACTACTGCGCTGCCGGTACCCTCAGCTCCATTGGCAGCTGGTACACCGTCTGCAACTACAAGTCCCAGGGTAAGTTGATCTTTTCCCATATCTTCCACTTGTACAATATTAACGATGGTACAGGCAACGTTATCGGCAGCTTCGACAAGAACGTCCTGCCTCCCGGCAACGCCGCCACCGTCAACGTTGCCTGAGTGTCGTGACACGCAACTGCATTTGCACCCTTCGTGTTGCCCGCTTGAAGCATAACTGGGTTTTGTTTGCGACACGGCCACCGGGTACGAGTGCGGATGAGCTCCGTCGCATTAGCGAGGCATTTCTTCTCTTCTACCGCTGTACTTTAACAGGAGATCGCTTGACCTTTTTTCGATCTCCTTGTCCCTCTCCTGGGACCCTTTGAATCATGCGCTTTGGTCGCCCACGAATGGCATGGGCAACTATTCTCTTCATACGAAAACTTCCTCAAGGCACTCGCGTGATGGGAAAAACAAACGTCTTTTTTGCGCCGGCCGAGACCATGATTCAAGGACAACTGGACATTGATGATGATGCATTTACGGATCTGGCGTGGAACAAAGAAAATCATTTTGGGGAAAGGGAACCAACCCACCATGGAACATTGCATTTTGCTCTTCTTTTTCGATTCTTGGCCTGGTTGTTTTGTCCCTTGCAGTCATTTACCCGGTCTGTCACTTGACAGGCGTCTGGGTTATGAATCTGCCTGGGTGAAATCCCGGCACCCTGTTTATGACTCTTTTGGTTCTCTGTACCTATGGTTCTTCTTCGACTTGAATTTCGGGTTTAGGGAGGCTAGGCAATGGAATCCATGATTTTTATGGTTTGGCAAGATATGTTCTCGAGGACAAATCGGTCGTGAAGTGAAGACTTGAGTGATGTTCGCTGTTTGTGTCTGGTGTCTCTTCCTCTTGATACACATGTATCCTCGGTACTGAATAGGATTACTGCGTCATACTGCCAGGTCTCGCTGGCTCGTCAATTCGACTGTGTCTTGTGTCGTGGTTGCGTGCGCCGTTGTGAAGTGACGTTTCGTTGGTGCACATATCGGCTGCTCCGGTGTGCAAGGACTAAGGACTCGAAGTGCGTGGTTATGGTCGAGAGTGCCGCACAAAGTGATTGTAGTAGGTCGGCTATTGTGTCCCAAACATTCTGATACTGGATCTTCAAGTGAATGCGGGCTTGGAAGGCGAACACCACTGACAGCCAGGCTCGCAAGAGGGGATGCATTCTTCTTTTCAACTCGTCGACAGCATATACTCCTGAGAACGCACCGCCACCTGATGGCGCGTGTGTTCCCGCCGTGTGGCAGTGTGGTCCGCCCCTGAGCCCAAGTCTCCAACGGCATTGTGAAACGTGCTGCTGCGGCTGATGGCTGTGAAGAACGATGTGGGTTCGGACGGTGCCAGTGGATGGGATGGTTGGATGTGGGGGTGTTAGGTGGTGGTTTAACGTCGTTTCTTTCAATCTGCGACTTTGTACTATCCGCGTGTAGATGGCTGACATGGCCTTGTTCGAGTAGATGGGAAGCTTTGAAGATAGGGGAGGGGGTTGACGGGTATGTGGGAGGATAGTTTGGTTTTTCTAGGGTTTTGGATGTTTGGGAGAAAGGGAGACGATGAGAGGGTTGCGCGGCGATGAGGACTAATTCATTTACCTCGAGCGCTGTGGGTATGTGCATGTTTTTTCCATGATTTTTGATCAAGATTTCTCATTTCGTGGTGTCTTTTTTGGATCGGCATATCGAGGAGTTGATTGATGCTAATAAGCTCTTGTGCGTGAGAAGGGTATTTTGTTACAGGTTTTATATGTTGCTGACCGTTGTTTCGTTTAGATGTAAGCCTCGGGCATATGAATGCCTCTGCTGACGGCTCTCTAATACTTCGTTTCACGCATCGTCTTAGGCATGATAATGGTTGATAGCCATTTGGATATGGCACGTATCTAGGTACATAGGTGCCCTACCCAGCACCCCGCCGTCGATATCCGTACCTCCCGTCCATTAATCGAACTCGAAACCAGCCCGACACACCAGGTCCGATTGCTACAAACGTCATCCACTCAACAGAGCTCAGAGTTTCGTATCATACTGACTCGAGGCTTAGAAAAGCGAACAGGAAATTGGGATTCTACTCACCAAAGATGAAGCCGGCGACTCTCCTCCCATGAGCAACAGTGCAAAAACGTTGAAGACACACGCCTCTGGCTTCTGGAGGATGGCCTGCGCCGGACTCCCATCGCTGAAGTCAGATACAACATGGTTCAGCGAGCCGAGTGCTTCTCCGTGCAAGCAAAGGACTCCTGCGCGGAATCTAGCGAGACATCGCCAAGGATCGGGAATGACATCGGCTAATTTGCGGACGACGAAGAGAAGACTTCAAATTCGATATGGCCTGGCATATATGAAGCGCCGAAGAAGCCTGTCTCTTTATTTCTCATCCCGTGGGTGGTAAATCTTCTCGTTTCCGGATCAGACTCGCGGGATTTTCGAACCCTTTTCGCTCCATTGCTCTAGATCAATTCCTGGCATCGAGACTAGTGTAGCGGCTCCTCTTATTCACTTTCCCTCAAGAGTCGCCATCGCGTGCTTCTATTATTTCTCTGCTGTTAATACACGCCCTCTATCTAGGATTTGATTAATAATGAAGTCGACTGTCAAGACAGGCAAATGTGGCCTAGATATGACGAAGCTGGCACGATAGCCTACCTCAAATCATCACGGCGTCAGAATTTATGGACTAGCGATCGAGAGACAGCCGTGTAAGGGGAGAACTCTTTGCTTCAGCAGACAACTCCATGTATCGTTCGATCATCATTGCGTGAAAGACTTGTCCAGAGACTGACTTCTTGTGGCGCGGTAATACAGCCTAGAGATGGCAACGAAAAGATCCCTGTCAGGACCAGTCGAGATCCTCGACGAAGGTACCCATCTGCCAGAAGAAGAGGTGATGAATGATTTGAGGAGATATACTCACCTCATGGCTGTCCACTTCAGTAAGACGGGCAAGCGGTCTGCCGAGAAGGTTAGGAGTGTGCTAAGGAGTAGCAATGGGATGTAGGATCGGGACAAGCTTGTTGTTGAGCCAAGAGTCCTTCACGGAGCTGATGTTGGTGATGTTGCTGACGTGCCAATAGTACCTATCGAACTGGATAACTATGACTTTCACGAATAGGAAGAGACAGAAGCAGATACCCGGTACTCATGGTACATCTCAAATCTTTGCTGCCGTCGGCCACATGGTCGTCGAGCTCATGTTCTCGTTCATCAGTCTTCACACCAGGAGTGAATACCAAAGATGATGATGGCCGAAGACGGAGGATGTCAGACGCAACTCAGCTGCCATTACTCGCCGTTACTACTACCTATGTCCACCGAATCGGGATAAGGCATATGTTGGCAGATCTGGGGAAACTGTCGCGCAGAATCTGGGCCCGGAGGCCTGGCCGCGGGCACATACTCCCATGTAAGCTCATGCACCCTGACCCAGGCCGGCGGCTTGATCACTGCTAGTCTATAGTCGTGGTGAAGTCGCTGTCTCAGGGCGGCAGGAGTAGCCTCTCACCCGGTCTTCCGGGGGCGGGGGGCACGGGGGATTTTGCTTCAAGGCTCAGGCTTTTCGGACCCCATTACTTGGAGACAATGTAAGAGTACTTGGCTAGTATTCGTCTTGCGATGTCGTCTTGGGATGTTTATTCATTGTTCTGACCCCTGGCCAGGTATTCGAAGCTGCGAAGTCGGTGGCTTGCATGATATCACCTGCGCAGACGTCCTGGTTCTTGGCATACAGGGCCTCTGAGACATGCGCGGGATGGCCACGCAGTTTGGATATGTTGGTGACATGATACAAGCTGTAAGTCAACTTCCAACCTGTGAATAAACCCCTCATGATAATTTTGACTTATACCACTGGTAATGGGTTGCATATGTCTTAGGAGCTGAGATGTCAAGTCATCGCAGGCTGATAGGACGGGGCGCGACCAAAAGCCAAGGTGTAAGTTATCCACAGCGGAGCCACATTTTTCTTGGTTCCTCTTGGGAAAATGCCTTGCCAAAAGCTTGACCTGACTATCGTTGAGTACTGCTCTTGGCTATGGAATTCAGGTGTAAGCCAGGAACTCGGACTTAAGTCAAAAACCACCACAACAATACCAAGGATGAATATTTGGTAATATAGTATATATCATAGCGACTGATACTGTTTCAAACAAGATATCGAATAGTACGATGGTATTATCAATCGTGATGTACAGAGATATACCGTCCCTCCCACATGTCTAGAGAGTGAGAGTGAGAGTGAGAGCTGCGGAGATCTCTTTTGTGAGTGGCCCGTGCATGGACCGGGGTGTAATAAGTCCGTGGCTCTCCACGCCATCCACACGCATCGCGTTTTCTTATCTCTCTCCCTGTCAACCTCTCACTGATACCGGCGCACGATTTGCAACCTCGATGCGAACTCTGATGTCAACCACCCGGCGACGCCTATTACTTATCCGTTCTGCCTTTCTGCCCTCGAGCTAGCGCCCCGGGATATGAAGAACGGTGCGGGAGCCGTAGCGTGGCTTCTTATCGTTTCTTGGCCGCCGGCCACTCTCCACCAGACGAGACTGTCCCTCACACAGCTGCTTCAAGACAAAGAGGAAATGGTTTCTGGGAAAACCTCGTACGGGCCACCTAGCAGATCATTGTGTCTGAGATCGAGCTTGGCACCCTGTCGTTCCTATGTGCCTTGAGCCGTCAGCGAAAGGCTTTCAGACCACCCATCGCGAAACCGAGCAGCCCAATTGACGAGGTCTTTCTCACTCCAGCTGAAGTCAGCAAGATGAGCCCAATGGCTACCGGATTTCCTTTAGAGATTGACTCGACGGCTTATGGAAATCATTTTCTTCTCGCAACGTTGAAAACTTGTTACAGTCCTTTCCCCTTTGTCATCTCTCTATGCAACCCCAATCTAAAATCGAAAGATTACCAAGTCCTCAAGCGATCTTCGGCCGTTGGGTCTTGATAAAGTCAGACACATGGGGTCTCGGCAGAAGCCTGCAGCTATTCACGCGCTTTTTACTCCATGAAGTGTGAAGCCACCCATGAACTCCCCGCCGAAAGATATCGCCCTGCCGTATCACGGCCCCATCCAACGCAGATGCTACCCCAAACAAGCAACGCCCTAGCACCCGACTGGCCGCAGATCTAACCAGAGGCTAACGTCTGTCAGATTATGAAGACATGCCATTGGTCCGGGACATGCATACGGCAGCAAGACGGCAACACCATTTCTATGACTGATTGAATTTTGGCCTTATCTCTCTGCTCTGCATGGCCAGTACGCTTCTGTGCATGTGTGGTGGGCGCCCTCTTAGCGACGTGCCTTATGTACTACCCGCGCTATCTTTCTTTCTTACACTCAAACTTCGTCTCAAGTCTCAAAGTTGAGGTACAATCTTGAAGGATTTGGCTGACCCTGGCCTTTGCTGTTCTTCTTCTGCCCCCCCCCCCCCCGGCTGCTACTCCCCCCTCCATCCCCAGCCAGCTTTACGCCATGATGCGATCTCAACTAGCCTGGCAGTTGTATCTGTTCATGTCTGAGTGGGGGCAAATGTCGAACCGTTGTCTCGACTGGCACATGGGACAAGGGTAGGTCCGGTAGTTTAAGCTCCGATAGCCGTAGGACAACGTTCGGGATTGATGCTGCCGCCGGCCAAACTGTGCTCGCTTGTAAGAGAAGTCTGCCCCGGTGCAGATACATATATACAGGAGGACCGGTCCCAAGTTGTCGGGATGAAAGTAGTGTCTGTCTCAAGGGTACAGCAGCTTCTCTCTGAGCTTCACACCAATACATAGTCGAGTCCTCAGACGAATTGGCCCAAGATGGTGACAGCAGCTCTCAACCAGGGCGTCGGCTACGGCATCGTCCTCGGCGTGGGCTTTCTCTTCGCCATTGGCATGGTACGTTGACCCTTGCGTGTTATCCAAGGGTGTTCACGAGTGATTGACTGTGATGATGCAGATTGCCACCACCTATGTGCTCAAGCGCTACAACCGGGAGCTGCAGACTTCCGAGATGTTCACAACCGCCGGTAGAACAGTCAAATCAGGCCTCGTCGGTTCCGCAGTCGTTTCTTCATGGACTTGGGCCGCCACGCTGCTTCAGTCTTCTGGCGTGTGCTACCGATACGGTGTCTCAGGACCGTTCTGGTACGCCTCGGGCGCGACTGTCCAGATCCTGCTCTTTGCGACCCTCGCCATTGAGCTCAAGCGCAGAGCACCCAACGCCCACACGTTCCTCGAAGTCATCAAGGCTAGATATGGAACGGCTACGCACATTGTATTCATTGTCTTTGGTCTCATGACGAACATCTTGGTTACATTGATGCTGATTGTCGGTGGTGCGGCGACCGTCAATGCCTTGACTGGCATGTAAGTCACAAGTCCCTGGCAGCTCTGGTTGAGTATGAGGAGAAATTGACACGGAAATCGTAGGAACACTGTGGCTGCTATTTACCTGCTCCCCGTAGGAGTTGTTGCTTACACCCTTGTCGGAGGTCTCAAAGCCACCTTCCTCACCGATTGGGTTCACACATTCATCCTGCTCATCATCATTATCCTCTTCTCGCTGACGACCTACGCCAACTCCGATGTCCTCGGCAGCCCTTCCAAGGTCTACGATCTTCTCGTTGAGGCCGCTACAAGACATCCCGTCTCTGGTAACGCCGAAGGCTCCTACCTGACGATGAGATCACAGGGCGGTGTCGAATTCTTTGTTATCAACATTGGTAAGTGACGTTTCCCATCTCCCAAAGACTTCACCTTTTAACGAAACTCGATATAGTCGGCAACTTTGGAACCGTCTTTTTGGATAACGGCTACTACAACAAGGCCATCGCCGCGTCACCAGTTCACGCTCTTCCGGGCTACATCCTCGGTGGTCTCTCCTGGTTCGCCATCCCGTGGCTGACCGCAACCACCATGGGCCTCTCCGCCCTCGCCCTCGAGTCGAACCCCCGATTTCCCACCTTCCCCGACCGCATGACCGAGGCAGAGGTGTCCGCCGGCCTGGCCCTCCCCTACGCCGCCGTTGCCCTCCTCGGCAAGGGTGGCGCTGTCGCGACCCTTCTCATGATCTTCATGGCCGTCACCTCCGCCTCCTCGGCCGAGCTCATCGCCGTCTCTTCCATCTTCACGTACGATATTTACCGAACGTACTTCAAGCCCGATGCCAGCGGCAAGAGGCTCATCTACATGTCCCACGTGTGCGTCGTCGTATACGCCGTCATCATCAGCTCCATCTCCGTCGGCCTCTTCTACAACGGTATCTCCATGGGCTACCTCTACGTGCTGATGGGCGTCCTCATTTCCGCGGCTGTGATTCCGGCAACCTTGACTCTGGTCTGGAAGGGCCAGAACAAGTGGGCTGCGACGCTGACCCCCATCGTTGGCACCGCCTTCGCCATTATCGGCTGGCTCGTCACGGCCAAGAAGACTTGCGGTGTTCTGGACGTCACTTGCACGGGTTCCAACAGCCCCATGTTGGCGGGCAACGTCATCGCCCTGCTTTCGCCCATCGTTTTGATCCCCGTCTTTACGTTGGCCTTTGGCCTGGACAGCTACGACTGGAAGTCGATGATGGCGATCCGCAGAGGCGACGACCACGAGCTGGCTAACGCCGCTGGCCTTGATCTTGAGGACGTGCCCGGCAACACGGAGTCGCAGGCTGAGTTTGAAAAGGAGCAGGCCATGCTCTCGCGTGCCTTTAAGATTTCCGTCTCCATGACGGCCTTCATGTGAGTATCACTCTTGGTGCATTTCTGCTTCTTACCATCGAAGTCAAAAACTGACAAGAAGATTAGGACCATCGCTATGCTCATCCTCTGGCCGATGCCCATGTACGGCTCCGGCTACATCTTCAGCAAGCCCTTCTTCACCGGCTGGGTCGTCGTCGGCATCCTCTGGATCTTCTGTTCCTTCTTCGCCGTCGGCCTGTTCCCCATCTTTGAGGGCCGCGGCACCCTCGTCCATACCTTCAGGTCTATGCTTACGGGCAAGAAGCCGACGCGTCTGCCCATC